ACAGCTTCAGGTGGCTGAGGTTTTCACTTCAGAAATGTCTTTCTCCTAGACTGATTGGCATCCATGGCTAAAGAGCCTAATCTTTTGGATTTCTTTTTCTTTTAATCATTTCAACCCAAATGAGATGATAATGTCACTAGGATGCTGGGGTGGGAGTTACAGAGAGTGACAGAGAATGAGAAGACTTTAGTATGAAGGCATGAGTAAAGGACAATAAAACAACAAGGTTCAGGTAGACAGAAAATGGCAATTGATATTGTATTTAAATGTTTGAAGATGTTAGGTGGCAGCAAAGCAAGAAATTGAAAGGGAGTTCCACAGGTGAGAAGTGCAAGAAAAACCATTAGAATAAAAGTGACAGTTCTATCTTGATAGTTCAATAGTAAAACCATGAAACCTAAGATGCCAATCTAGTAGCATGTTTAAATTCATGGAGTTAAAAGACCAGAGAAAAAAGTTCAGAGCCGTTGCCATGAAAATATTTGTAGAAAAGAAAGAGGGAATCCATGCCACGTAAACAAGAAAGCAACTGAATTCAAGATGCCTCTGGTCAACATCAATTACATTACAGATCATTCTTTAGATTTTGTCAAGAATCTCTAGTTATGCAGAAGGAGCACCAGATCAGATATGGCTGCAGTATTCAGTGCCTGGACAAATAGCAGATTCATAAATGTGCAAGATGGATTCTGATGAGAAAGTATCGTCTGGCACAACAGTGATATGCTTTGTAGGTTTCTGTGATTAAAAAACAATATGAAACCAACTCAAAAATTATCAAAAACTTTTTCAGTTCCACATTATTAGATATGGAATTTCTGAAGATTAAAGAAAAAAAAAAATTCTAAAATGAAATCTGAAATAAATTACTTTGATCCTTCCTATTAATGTCAAGTCACTTAATCCCAAAAGGAAGTGTCACATATGTGTAACGTTGGGAGGTGTATTTGGAAATTTCATTTACAAGAAAAAAAAAAGAAAAAAAGAAACCAACCGTACACTAATGAAAACTACAAACAAAAAATATAATCAATTAATTGCTGATCTTCCTGATGAGTGGATGGAGAGATTTCTGGAAGTTCCATCTATGAAACTCTTGAGTCAGGATGCTGAAGATAACATTGATCAACTAAGTGATAAATTTTATACTTGTATTAATTTATCTATCTATCTATATATATGTACAAAATATATGGATTAAATAGGATTAACACCTTACGCCCCTTTTCTTTAAACAATTGCTCTAGCCGTTACCATAGAAATTTTGATTTGAATAATGAATATGCTTATAAAATGCGTAAATTTCAGGAATAAGTTATTCCAAAAAAATTTCGCTTGAAGATGGAACAGAGCTTAGTACTTTAATTCAATTTAATTCAAATTATATTGAAGTTTTCGGCTCTTGTTTTGAAACATGAGAACTCTTATGTAGCGTGTTGGAATCATATTTTTAAATAAATAATTTATATATATATATTACACAACAAAAACCCAAATTACCTAATATACATCTATTTTAACCAACGTGAAGTGCTTCAGTCTTATTCAACCCCAGTGTATGGACTGTAGTCATGTTGGAATTAAAATTTAACTTTGACAGCAGTTGAAAAATTGATACAGAACCTACCCATTTCAACCCCTCAGCCAGATGAAATGCCCAAGTTGGTGGCAAGGGGAGAATGGTAGGTATCAATCTTAAAGAGAAGAGGCCCCACAAAATCAACCAACATATTAACCTTATGACACTAAATTAGAGTTATATAAAGAATGAGGTGTTGATTTGAAACTAAGAAAGGGCTAAAAAGGGAGTTTTATATACAAAATAATTTTTAATTTTATATAAAAAGGTTAAGTTCCCACTTATATGGTGTGTGTGTGTGTGTGTGTGTGTATGTATATATATATATGTATATATATATGTGAAAAATATATAGAAAATAGGAAAGAACTCATTAGGTAAATAATCCAAAGTTCTTTAGTATTTTTGTTATTATTTTTAAAAAATAGTGTTCGATACAAAAGTAGAGCATAAATATAATTATTTATTTAGAAATATTTTTAAATAAATAATTATAATATATTTTATATATATATATATATAGATATATATATATATATATATATATATATATATATATATATATATATATATATATATATATATATATATATATATATATATATATATATATATATATATATATATATATATATATATATATATATATATATATATATATATATATATATATATATATATATATATATATATATATATATATATATATATATATATATATATATATATATATATATATATATATATATATATATGAAGATATATATATATATATATATATATATATATAAAATATATATATATATATATATATATATATATATATATATATATATATATATATATATATATATATATATATATATGAATATATATATATATATATATATATATATATATATATATATATATATATATATATATATATATATATATGTATATATATATATATATATATATATATATATATATATATATATATATATATATATGTAGATATATATATATATATATATATATATATATATATATATATATATATATATATATATATATATATATATATATATATATATATATATATATATAGATATATATATATATATATATATATATAGATAGATATATATATATATATATATGTAGATAGAAGATAGATGATGATATAGCTAAGTTTAATTGTGTTAAACTGTGATGACAAGATTTAAGGTTTTAACATAAGCGCAATGCAGTTAAAAAAGTTAATATCCATTTATTAGGTAGGGAAAAAGTAAAAAATTTCAAACATAAATTATGACATTTTACTTACCAATTTTAAAATATCAAATTCTATTTCCATTAAATCATCAGAAGAGTTGATTTTTGGTGTCGCACAAAAGTTTCACACATACTGTATAAACAAATAAAATGTTCAAACTTACCAATTGAGATTATCACAGAAAAGGGATCGACTCCTGAGAAGGTTAGATAGGAAACTGAATTTATTTACATGTCATATAATTCCTAAAAGATATTACTTAAATTTCTGTAAAAAAAAGAAAAAAAAAAAAAAAATATTCACTTTTGACGTTAACTTATTTTAAATCTATTTGTTCTTAAAACTTTATTGCATAATAAAGTAATTTGTGAGGAGTTCTTTTTAGCCTGTCAAAATAACTCACAAGAATAGCCAGAAAGAAAAGGAAAAATAAGCTTAGAATGTAGTGGAAATGAGAGGCTTTTTCATGAAGAGTGGAGTGAGAAATATGGCATTAAAAAAAATGAAAAAGCTTTTTGTTGTATATGCAAGGGGTCGATTGTTGCACATTCATGATATTAAGCACCATTTTGAAAGCCATAATCAGAATTTATACTCAATGACAAATGAAAAAAAAAAAAAAAAACCAATAAAATTATTCAGAGAGAAGTGTAGCGAAAGGAGCAACATAACAATTTTAAAAGAAAGTTTAAACCAAAAAACAAGAACAATATTTTTGCAGCCTGTTTTCATTTATCCTCTGCTATTGCTAAGCATTGTAAGGAATGCCCTGATGGTAGTCTTTTAAAAGAGGCCATTTTGATCAACTCAGATTTTTTGTTTGGAGACTTTCAGATTAAAGATGAAATCCTCAAGAGAATTTGAGTTTCCAGTCACTAGAAATATGGCCAAAGAGAGAATAGTTGCAATGAACAAAGGTGTAACTCACAAATTTTACCAAATTTGTAAAATGCAAATATGTTTTCAATTCATTTGGATGAAAGTACAGACATCAATTGTTGTAAGATTTCCTTTTGGAAATACAATGGAGAAGGAACTGATTAAATTGATGAAACTTTCAGAGAAAAATAGCAGGCAATATATTACCAGTGAATTGAAGAAAGAATTCATTGGCATTAAGTTTGCAAATATTGTATCTGTGACAACAGAGTTCCAAGCAAGATTGGAAAAAATGCTAGATTCTATGTAATTACTGAAACAAGAAGTAAACCACAATTTAGTTGAATTTCATTGCATTAAGAATCTTTGTGCAAAATGACTAGAAAATGTCATGTCTCTTGTAACAAAAATTTTGAACTTTATAGTTGCTATTAATTAAGAAAATTATTAAATGGTTCAATAACATTTTCTTTTGCAGATTTAACAATAACTTTACTAATTTAATTAATAATTCAATATTAATTAATAATCTAAAAAAATTACAAAAAAAAAAAAAAAGGTAGTTTTATATACAAAATAATTCAATAACTTGCATAAAAAATGCAAGGTAATGGAAGATGTTTGACATGTTAAAAGCTTTCAAAAGAAAACTAGAAATATTTTCAAATAGTTTGGGACAAAAACATCCCCCCACCAAATTATTATCTTCAGTTCCTTTTTTATTTGGTATTTCTGTAAAGTCAACCAGAATTAAAAATTCATTTATTTTTACCATTCTGCATTTCATTATCTTATTTCCATTCAAACTTTTGTCTTCATCTTTGTTGTTTTTTTTGTCCTCCAGACTTTATCAATCTGGAGAACTTACAATGAATTCTAAATAATGAAGAATACCAGAGAGCAAAATGAATGAAATGTTGTGATAAAAACAACAAAGATAAAGACAATAGTCCGAATGGAAATAGTGAAAATTATTTTCTCCATTTTTGTTGTTTTTTTTGAAAATGTTAGCATTAAAACATAGGATTTATTTAAATTAACAATTTCAAATAATGGATAAAAGAAAACACTGCTTTTTATATATTTTGTCCATTTAAAAAAAAAAAAAAATACGGATTTAATATTATTATTCTTAAAATAAAAATCTTGAAGGAACCAATATTATGGAATTTTAGAAAAATGATTAACGTGCAAAAATCACAGGTATTTATTAATGAATTATTTGATTGTTGAGTGCTCCCCAAATCAGGCCTTGTGTCAAACCTAGCTTTGTCAAACAAATATTTAAATAGGATGAAATAGCATCAGTAAGACATGAATGGAAGGAGGGAAAAAAAGTTTAAAAAAAAATTTTTTTTTTTTCGAGGGAAAAGAAAGGTAGAGGAAAGGAAGGAAGGAAAGAAAGAAAGGGAGAAGAAAGAAAGGGAGAAGAAGGAAAGAAAGGGAGAAGAAAGAAAGGGAGAAGAAGGAAAGAAAGGGAGAAGAAGGAAAGGGAGAAGAAGGAAAGAAAGGGAGAAGAAGGAAAGGGAGAAGAAGGAAAGAAAGGAAAGAAGAAGGAAAGGGAGAAGAAAGAAAGGAAAGAAGAAAGAAAGGGAGAAGAAGGAAAGGGAGAAGAAGGAAAGGAAAGAGAGAAGAAAGAAAGGCAGAGGAAAGGAAAGAGAGAAGAAAGAAAGGCAGAGGAAAGGAAAGAGAGAAGAAAGAAAGGCAGAGGAAAGGAAAGAGAGAAGAAAGAAAGGCAGAGGAAAGGAAAGAGAGAAGAAAGAAAGGCAGAGGGAAAGGAAAGAGAGAAGAAAGAAAGGCAGAGGAAAGGAAAGAGAGAAGAAAGAAAGGCAGAGGAAAGGAAAGAGAGAAGAAAGAAAGGCAGAGGAAAGAAAAAGAGAGAAGAAAGAAAGGCAGAGGAAAGGAAAGAGAGAAGAAAGAAAGGCAGAGGAAAGGGAAAGAGAGAAGAAAGAAAGGCAGAGGAAAGGAAAGAGAGAAGAAAGAAAGGCAGAGGAAAGGAAAGAGAGAAGAAAGAAAGGCAGAGGGAAAGGAAAGAGAGAAGAAAGAAAGGCAGAGGAAAGGGAAAGAGAGAAGAAAGAAAGGCAGAGGAAAGGAAAGAGAGAAGAAAGAAAGGCAGAGGAAAGGAAAGAGAGAGAAAAAAAAGGCAGAGGAAAGGAAAGAGAGAAGAAAGAAAGGCAGAGGAAAGGAAAGAGAGAAGAAAGAAAGGCAGAGGAAAGGAAAGAGAGAAGAAAGAAAGGCAGAGGAAAGGAAAGAGAGAAGAAAGAAAGGCAGAGGAAAGGAAAGAGAGAAGAAAGAAAGGCAGAGGAAAGGAAAGAGAGAAGAAAGAAAGGCAGAGGAAAGGAAGGAAATAAAGAAAGGCAGAGGAAAGGAAGGAAAGAAAGAAAGGCAGAGGAAAGGAAGGAAAGAAAGGGAGAGGAAAGGAAAGAAAGAAAGGGAGAGGAAAGGAAAGAAAGAAAGGGAGAGGAAAGGAAAGAAAGAAAAGGAAATAAATAAAAGGAAAGTTAATAAAGAGAGAGAGAAGGAATAAATATAAATCTGAAAAAGATTCATTTTTTTCTCAACTGGAAAATGAAAGGAAAAATAGAAAAAGAATGAAAGAATTAGAAGAAGGAAAATAAGTAAATTTGTGGAAAGAAAACAAAATGGAAAGAAATACAAGTAGACAAAAAGCGCTTAGAGAGGGAGTTTTTTTGGGGGTGGTGCTTGAATTGGGTTAATTTCCAGCAATGTATAAAAAATTAGTTAGGAAACAGAATTTGAAGTTTGAAAAGTTGTATGAGGATCTGAACAAAAGTTTAGGGCTGTTGGGCGGGGGGGGGGGTTGAGATATAGACAAAGTATTCAGTAATAAGACGGTGCTGAAAAGTTCGTGCCCTAACCAAGATGCCAATAATAAAAAAAAAAAAAAAAAAAGTGTAGATTTTGTTGAGTAGCCAGGAACTTTAAGTTGTTTCATGGTATAACAGATTTTGGTTAATTTTGGTGTTTCCTCGTTTACTGGAACCAATTTCAAATCACTTAAAAATGCTGGAATTAACCAAAAGCTAAACCTAACAATGACATTGTAGCCTCATCAGATGTTGAAAGTCTGTTTACTAAGACTATTTAAATGTGGTAATCTTCAGTGACTTGATATTGGTTCCCACACATGAGAGAATGCTGGAATTAACCAGAAAGTCAATAAAACCTAACAATGGCATTGTTAGATGTTGAAAGACTATTGTATATATAACATAGATCTATTATAAATTCTTATGCAAACACAAATAAGAATAAAGTAAAGAGGTAAAAGCCCTTCATTGAGAGAGGTTTTATTAAAAATGAAACAAATATTTAATTTCAAATTTTTTCTTGAGTTTTTTTCTTTTTTCTTTTAGTCAGCAGTTGGTGTTTGATCCAATAATATACAAAATAAGTCCCCAATGTACAACGCTGAATTGATATGAACAAATACATTAAAGAAATTCCTGCATAAGTGATATGAAAACAAAAAAAAATGCCCATGTGAATATTGAGAGAAGACTAAATATTACAAATAAATAAAATAAAAATAACAATATTCTAGAGAGAGAGAGAGAGAGAGAGAGAGACTGTGTGTGTGTGTGTGTTGCATGTGGACCCATAATCAAAAAAAATCATCAAGAATATACTTAGCATACAAAAACAATATTTGATAAAGGAATTAAGTAGAAAAAAAAAAAAAAAATAATGTTTCCTGATTCTTGCTAATTTGAATTTAACAAAACAAGCTTTAAGGAAGTGATTTTGAACCCAAACCTCATTA